TCCAAGATTTTCTAATCTCATCCTCGTCATTTCTGTTGTGGTTTGTGTGATATTTCTAACATTAATTATAACCTCTGGTCATTTTAAACTAGGTTATAAGGATGCATTCTTTTCAAATTACCACCTTCTACCAATTGCAGGTGCACATTATTTATTGATGGAGGATTCATGTCATAGATGTGCAGATAGTGAAATTATCAATTTCTCTATCTATTCGTATTATTTTACATATAATAGGACTTTCTTTTATCCTTATTATTAGTATTCTACTTCATATTCAGTTGAAAATATAGAATAACCCTTCACGGTGGTTGACACTTGCGAAAATTACCTAAAATGGGATTTTATTGTGTTATATTCATATTTCTAGTTAAGTTGGCAAGCTGAGCTTAAAAAAAAGGTGAGTAAAAAGGCTATTGCAGAAAAAAATAAAAATAAAAAAAATAATCTGTGTAAGCTGTATTATCATGTTAGCTTCTTTTGCCCAACCATACTTTCAAGGATTTATTGTGTTGCTTGTATTTTCATTATAGTTTCAATAATAAAACTCTTTGGGTCATTGGGTGGTAATCCTTGATGTTTGAACCACTCCAACCTGATACTCCTGCATTGTAGGAGTGGTCTGGAATCATGGATCATTGACACGCTTTATTGTGTTTGACTCACTGGATTTTGGAGTAAGAGTAAACATGTATTTTAGATGACATCTTTTATCTTTTTTGTTGAACTTTTGAGTTTCGACCTTTTCCCAGACATCGGTGACAGTTAAATTGAACCATGTAGAATCATCAACATTATTACTAATGCTTAATATCCGGCATCAAAAAGAATGATCTTCCTTCGTTGATCCTGTTCAGTGATTACCAAGATGTCTGATCCATATATGCACACTTGTTTCATGTATCTGCTCCTCTATCTAACTTCTTAAATTTTGCAATAGGTTTAAACTGGTATGACGTAAGATTTTCTGGAAGTAGTAGGAAAATGTTTGTTTGTAAAGCTTGTGCAGTTTATTGTCCTATCTTGCAATCCAGTTTTTGTGGTAAACTATGATTGGTTAACCAGTTATTGCATGTAAAATTGCTTTGCAATATCCAAATTTACTAATCAAGGCTTCTTGATCAATGAATATGGTGTCAAAGATTGTGGTTCCCAAGGGCCTCTATCTGGAACTTATCTAACCTTTCTTCTTGTTCAGGTTTCAAATATTGAGAGAATTGATACCCAATAGTGATCAGAAGCGAGATACGGCATCATTTTTACTGGAGGTACATTATTTTATTTAGAATACACGATTAATTTAGTTAGAGAATTTCACATTGACACTTCTTGACATGTATGACTATTGCACTTGATGCCCTTCTCTTCTGATAAATTATGGGAACTTCCAATGTCAGCTGATTATTGACCTCTTACTATTACGAATATGCATTATTATGTAACCCCTTCCCTTTCCTTCTCCTAACATTCAAGCATAAAAAATTAATTCAACTAGATCAAAAAGAAAAACTCCAGAAATGTTGTCCAATGATGAAAGCTACAAACACCCTGTCTAAAATTTTGAGTTAATTCTTTGCTGGGGATCTGGAAAAATGAAGTAGATGACTTAGACATGTCTGGTATAACTACATCTTCACAATTCATTTACTTTTGTTAATAATGTCCCAATATTATTCTTCGTTTTTACCTCCAAGCCAGAAATATATTGGGCTTGGGTATTTTCTACACTTGGTTTTTTTTGCCCAGCCAGCAATTTCAAATTCCTAAACTAATCTTCTTTCCCACCCCATACTCCGGTCGCTCCCACCCCCATCTGTGTTTCCTTACATTCATTACAGTTGCTTTTCTCCCCGCCCGTCGCCACTGGTTTCGCCCACCCTCCCACCACAATCTGCTTCCCCTTCAAATTTTAAGTTCACTGGCAATAAAATTGGTCGAATGGAGAATATGTTAATATAAACCAAAATAAGGGTGGTTTCTATATTTTTCCAAAAGGGAGGGGGTGTCATTATAATTTTAAGGGATGGCAAGAGTTTCAGTGTAAGTTACTTTTGAGTTTATTGATTTGGAGTTTCTGCCTTGTGACTTTGTTCTGGCAAATTGTTAATTTTTTTGATGCAGGTGATTCAATATGTACAATTTCTGCAGGAAAAGTTGCAAAAATATGAAGGTTCATATCAGTCTTGGAGTTCAGAGCCCACAAAGCTCATGCCATGGGTAAACTCTTGATACTTTATGAAAGAATGATCAATATGTGAATTCTGTTTGCATGTTCGATTGTCCAAGGGATGAATTCTCTTTCCCCAGTAATCATCTCCACATGTATATAGGTCCATTAATTTTTTGGATATCTTTTTGTGGATGATGAGCAGGTGGGTAGTGAGAATTACGTTTACACTGAATTCTGAAGTTCTACTTTTTCAAATAAAATTGTATTATTTTTATTTTGTAGAAGAAATGACACTCTAATAACGAGAGTAATATAGAGGAGCACGACATCCATTAAATGTGTGTAAATTTGTGTATGAGCATGTTTATACATACATAACATGTGTATTTTTAGAAAAGAACCAATATCAAGCTATCCTGACAAAATATATTAATATGCTCCTAACTAAAGTTTCCCCTTAATATGCCCTTATTATTCCTTTCCCCTTGCTCTTCTTATAAGCAATTGTTTAGGTTGCTCGTTTATTTTCATGATAATTTGTTGTGCAGTAAATTCTGTAGCAATTGTGTAAACTTTTGATACTCTTCATTTTGTTATGATTGAGTTTCACAGTTGTTAATGGACCTCTTTTGCGTTTTCTGTAGAATTGTAATGCAATTTGAACTTTTCATCTGTTCATCTCCTCTTCTTTGTTTGTATTATGTATTTTGTTACCCCTTTTGAAGTTGCTATGAAGTA